TTGCAACAAGAGCCAAAAAAGACAAATGGGACCTAATCAAACTCCACAGCCTCTGCACGGCAAAAGAAACAGTCATTAGAGTGAATCTGCAACCAACAAAATGGGAAAAAATTTTTGCAGTTTACCCATCTGACAAAGGGCCGATATCCACAATTTACAAAGAACTAAAACAGATTTACAAGAAAAAAACAAAGAAGCCCATTCAAAAGTGGGCAAAGGATATGAATGGACACTTTACAAAAGAAGACATACATGAGGCCAACAAACATATCAAAAAATGCTCCTCATCACTGGTCATTAGAGAAAAGCAAATCAAAACTACATTGAGATACCATCTCACGCCAGTTAGAATGGCGATCATTAAAAAATCTGGAGACAACAGATGCTGGAGAGGATGTGGAGAAATAGGAACACTTTTACACGGTTGGTGGGAGTGTAAATTAGTTCAACCATTGTGGAAGACAGTGTGGCGATTCCTCATGGACCTAGAAATAGAAATTCCATTTGACCCAGCAATCCCATTACTGGGTATATATCCAAAGGACTATAAATCGTTCTACTATAAGAACACATGCACACGAATGTTCACTGCAGCACTGTTTACAATAGCAAAGACCTGAAATCAAACCAAATGCCCATCGATGATAGACTGGACAGGGAAAATGTGGCACATATACACCATGGAATATTATGCAGCAATCAAAAATGATGAGTTCATGTCCTTTGTAGGGACATGAATGAACCTGGAGATCATCATTCTCAGCAAACTGACACAAGAACAGAAAATGAAATACTGCATGTTCTCACTCATAGGTGGGTGTTGAACAATGAGAACACATGGACACAGGGAGAGGAACACTACACATTGGAGTCTGTTGGGGGGAATAGGGGAGTGACAGCGGTGGGTGGGGAGGTGGGGAGAGATAGCATGGGGAGAAATGCCAGATATAGGTGAAGGGTAGGAAGGCAGCAAATCACAATGCCACGTGTGTACCTATTTAACTATCTTGCATGTTCTTCACATGTACCCCAAAACCTAAAATACAATAAAAGCAGGGGGCACAGGTGATAATGACTTCCCAACTTCTAAAGGTAGAACCGTTATGTCAAGTCATTAGATCAGCATTTAGTGGCAGTGCTCCATTTCACATGATGGGTCCTGGAAAATACGAATGCTCTCAAATGACAGGTGCAAAAAGCAAGATAATCTCAGTCAGGCTTAGAGGCACTTGATTTCCACCACTCACAACTAATCTTTTTTTTTTTTTTCTTTTTTGAGAGAGTTTGGCTCTGTCACCCAGGCTGAGTGCAATGGCATGATCTCAGCTACTGCAACCTCCACCTCCCAGGTTCAAGTGATTCTCCTGTCTCAGCCTCCTGAGTAGCTATGATTATAGGCGCGTGTCACCATGCCCAGCTAATTTTTGTATTTTTAGTAGAGAGGAGGTTTCACCATGTTGGCCAGGCTGGTCTCAAACTCCTGACCTCAGGTGATCTGCCCGCCTCAACCTCCCAAAGTGCTAGGATTACAGGTGTGAGCACCAGCGCCCAGCCTCAAAACAAATCTTTGCAATGTTTTTAAAAAGCATTTTTTCCTTGATATAAGTAATATATGTGCTAGATGGCTAATTTTTTTCCAGAAAAAAAATTAAAATAATCAGTAATCCCACAACCCAAAGGCAACCATCATAAACATTTAAATAATGCTCAGTTTTAAAAATTTATACAAATACAGATATGAAGAAAAATATAGACAAAATCTAGTAAAACAATAAATCCACAACTGCATCCCTCCCCACTCCCACACTGAAATAGAATAGAGAAAAAAGTAAGGAAGGGCTCGGAAAAAGACAGGACCAGGCGGAGCCTAAACTGTCCCTGCTGGCCAGCCTGGAACAATCTGAGCAATCCAATCAATCATGATAATAACAGATCACAATCAGCAGAATCAAATAAGGACCGTGAGCCTGTTCTGAACAATTAAGTCAATGAGAAGGGAAAGTTCTTCCTTACAGGACTCAAACTATAAACATGGAATAAGTGAAAATTTTTAAATCACCCTTTGGTGAACACCACAGTAATAACTGGTTCAGGCAAGTATCATGATTGAGTACAGGATTAATGGGTAAAAGTGTGATGCGGAATAAGATATTTATATAGTTTCATAGAAAATCCCAAGACACTTTATTAGGAAAAAAGTTATCAATCTGACAATCAAGTTGGCAGACACCATCTTAATTATGTGACCAAAGTTAATGTCACCAGCCATAGTAAGACAGGCATATCAACACCCTGCCTCCTGATAAAATGCACAATACCACCTTCTGTAGTATTCCCACTCAGATCACAAGAAAATATCACAAATCCAAACTAAGAGTCATTCAACGAATTAGCTAGAATTAACTAGATTGTATTCTTCAAAACTGTGACGGTCCCAATAGATAGACTAAATAGCTCTTCCAGACTAAAGAAGACTCAAGAGGCCTGCAACTAAATGCAACACACGATCCTGGAATGGATACTGCATGAGGTAAAGAACATTAATAGGCAACTGGCAAGATCTGAATAAGGTCTGTAAAGTAGATAACAGCATTTATTAATGGGGTATTCCCAATTTTGATCATTTTACTGCTGGAAAAGAATGTCCTTGATCTTAAAAAAAAAATTTTTTTTTAAAGATAAATGTATTATGTCTGCCTTAATTATAAATGTTTCAGAAAGAAGTTTAGGTGATACATGTACAAACACAGAAAGAAGGGTATAAGCAGTATAACAAATGACAAAATACCAACATGTGAGATTTCCGGGTGAAGGCATATAGAAATTTTTGCGTAATTTTTGTAACTATTTTTAAGTCTGAAATTATTTCAAAATAAATATATGTATGCATATATGTGTATATGTGGTTACCTTTTTATAAAAATAAATACAGATCTAAATCATTATCTATAAAGGCTATACAGTATTCCTCTATTAAATATACCACAAATTATTTTGCATTACCAACTTTGCTGTTGCCAACGCCCAAATATTCAGAGATATGCCTCTGCATACTGTTTATTTCAGCAGAATTCCTGGAATAACATCCCTCCTTTAAAACATGGATTTCACTGAATTTCAAAAGCTAAGTTACTAGGTAGATCTCTACTGCTATCTAGCAACTTAACATTTGACTTAAAAACAAATCAAGTCCTTAAATCCTTCACCCTTCTCCACCTCTTCACCTGATGGAGCACCTGTATAACAATCAAGAAAGAAAACCATTCTTATGAAACCTTTTATACTGCCAACAAGAGATCACATAATATGAGCCTCATGTACTTTATTTCTATCTAAAAACTTAACAGAGAAAAAGAGAGCAGAAATACAAAAGAAAACCATCTACTCCCATCTGCTTACACATTTAGAGACATCAAGTTTCAAGACATCACAAAATAATATGAATCAAACCAATTTATAGAACTACATGCCATGAAGTAGTAAAAAGCCCATTGTTTTTTTAAAGGAACTTGTGCAGGTAGAGAGGTACTGAGTGATGGGTACAATACTTGCCAGGTTTGACAATGCAGCTATGTTCAATGTTTGAGTGGACAGAACTATGTCCATGTCACTGAACCTGAAGAAGACTTGCTACATGGAGGGTTTGGACAGGCCAGGAGAAATGCTGATGGAACAAGCTTCCTTGCTAAGAATACTGAGAAACTACAGGGAAGATAAGACAGACTACTGAGCCTAGTGAAAGAAGCAGATAAGGATTTGGGGGTAGAGTCTGTGCCAGGTGCACGAACACACAGTAAACCGTCACTGCTATCCTACAGTAAGGTCAGCATCCTCATCATCACTGCTATCATGTGTAATACTTTTGGAGGCTGTAAGAATGTATGTGAGGTCTCATTCTCCAGTTTCACATTAATTAGTCACATAAATGTGTGGGGAAATAATCAAAAGAAGTGTCCAATAAGACACTCTCCGACAGTTGACTTTGCAGAGACCTAAAAAACAAAGATGCACCTGAACTGTTGTAATATTTGCCAACCACAGCGCTGCCTAACTGGTTACAAAACATTTCCTAAAGGACATATAGTGACTTCCCCCTTGTTTCTGATCATACGAATGAGATGACAGGGAATGATTCCATTACTTGAAAATACTATCTTGAACATAAATAATTAACCCGCTTCAGAATACACGGCACCATTTCTATAAAAGGATACAGGTTAATGTTTATGTTTTCATATTTTTAAAGTATACCTAAACAGAAAATATGATCAATTTATTAGTTACAAAAAGATAAAATTAATTTCCACTAATCCTCAAATAAGCATTTAAATTTAGTAAAATATGCTTGCAGTATTTTATCTATATATGTGTGCACAGGTACATTTTTCCTAAAACAAATAATACTTTTTTTTAATTGCATGATTTACTGATAGTGAATATCCTTCTGTGTCTTGATACATTATTTCAGCATTACTCTACTACATATATCATTTAAATAACTGCATTAAAATATTTTAATCAAAATTGTGCATCACATAATAAATATTCAAAATCATTGCTATCAGAAATTGCATGGAAACACAGATTTTCAGGCAATTTTCCAAATCTGAACTGTCATAATTAGAGCAATTATCGACATATTTGAGTTTCTTCCCAGCAGGGGCTCTACTTCATTCCAGCCAAAAGGAGAAAGCCTCCTAAAGTATCCAGAGTTTTCCAAATTTCATAAGCTATTAAGAAAAGAACAATGTCACATATGGCATTTTTCCTTAACTATACTCACTCCTTTTATCTTCAAAGTAAACTATGACTTGCAAAGTAATCATTTCTAACTTGTAAATCACCATAAAAATTAATAGATACCACATTAAAGATTTAAGAACTTTTTATTTTAAGGGAAGTTCAAATTCGGCTCTGAGGCTGGGTAATGTCTACACAGAATTTTAATACAATTTAATAGCAACCCAGAGGAAGTCAATGAGTTAATGTACTCCACTTACTAAGCAGCCCGTCCTCTTCTTATATTCTTGACCTGTAAATGTTCAAAGACATTTGTTGAGTGAGTAAGTAGGGTCCCCTTGTATTCTTCTTATCAAGTGCCTGTTATCCCAGGATAGTGGTAGTATTCATAGCATTCCCTCTCATTCTTACGAATATGCTGAGAGGCTGAAGTGGGAGGATCACTTGAGCCCAGAGACTCAAGACCAACCTGGGCAATATAGTGAGACCTTGTCTCTCTAAAAAAATTTAAAGAATTAGCTGGGCATGCATCTACTACAGATGGACACACTCAGGAGGCTGAGGTGGGAGGATCACTTAGGCCCAGGAGATAGAAGTTGTGGTGAGGCAAGATTACATTTTTGCATCCTACCCTGGGCAACAGAGCGAGACTTTGTTCTTGGAGGGAAAACAGAAAAAAAGGGAAGAACGTTTGAGTTTGTAAAACAAATAATTTGGAAACCTTCTTGGAATCCCAGAAGTTACTGGGGTCATTTCTTTTATATTGGAATGAAATCATGTATATATAACTCAAATTAAAGCAATCTTTATTATTGTCATGATTAATTCCACTGCCATTACTAATGCTAGATATTATTTACAACACAATCGATGCAACTACATTATCTCCTGAAGATTGGATCTATCATTCTTTCTGAATTCCTTTTATTTTTCTTCACATCTTTGATATGCCCACATCTCCTAATTTGTTTGGTATAAAATAGAAAACATGAAACAATAAATGAGCCATTTAGAGTTGTTATTGAATACCAAAATGTTAATCAACAAAATCAGAGTTTTATATGGCGAAGGAGCAGAGCCACTAGGTTCAGGAAGATAATTTACTAAGAACCACAAGAACTCTTCACTAATAATTATCTTTTCCAGTCTGCAATTTTCCTGACCGACAATGGCTTACTTCTTTAAGTTCTGATTACTGTCAACTTTATCAGAGCCAACTGCCCTATTCACTTTACCTATGATTTGAATCACTTCTGTAAGAAAATAACATAAATTACTTTACATATGTTAACGATGAAAATAAGTGGACAGTTTGCTGTGCCCATTCTAACAACAGTGGTAAAAGATGTACTACTACTACTTCTTCCCTGTTTTGTTTTTTGTTTTGTTTTGTTTTTTAAAGAAACAGGGTCTTGCGAAACAGGGTCTTGCTCTGTCACCCAGGCTGGACTGTATGGAGTGGCACAGCTGGAACTAAAGGCATGTGCCACCATGGCCAGCTCATGTATTCGTGCTTTTTGTAGAGGCAGAGTCTAGCTATGCTACCCAGGCTGGTCTTAAACTCCTGATCTTGAGCAGTTTTCTTGCCTCAGCCTCCCAAAGCACTGGGATTACAGATGCAGCCACTGTGCCTGCCTGGCCTTTACTTTCTCTTAAGTCCTAGAAAAATCACTTAATGTTTGTGAATATAGAATGCTATATACACACACACACTTATATATACATGCTCTGACTAGGTAAATTGGTCTTTTTGAGAAATAACATCAGAACTTTAATATACCAGCCTTGACCCACTAGGTGGGAACCAGATCCAGCCATGCAATGAACGGGGCTGCTGGTCAACATTCTGTGAGCCACACGTCCCATGTCCCTCCTATCAAGGACTGCACCGAGAATAAAGACACTGGGCAGGTCAGGGCAGAGGCTGTGATATTTCTCCTGCCACTGCCCTTCCGGAGAACATGCTGGGCTAGTTATTAATTATATATACATATTAATCTCAGGGGAGGGTCTCATTACCTATTGCATGAGGGAAATCCTGTATGCATTTGTGTGGATACAAACTGATTAAATGACCATCCCACAGTGTTATCTGGCTTTCTCCTTCAAAGCCACAGGTGTCAGATGAAGGGGTGTGTATGTAAATTTGTCCTGAGATTCTTCTGAGGAGATCACACCAGCCATTCACTTCTTTTTGAGGTGGAATTTTTTTACATTTAGTCAGCTCTTCCAAGATAGGACAGTTTGAGCAAAGGACTAGAAGCTCTGCAAGTCACTGCCCCAGGCATATGAGTCTGTCTTCAAGTGAGTAAGGGGCAGTCGGAGAAGACAAATTAAAGCATCCTTTACACAGAAATGTCATGGGCCTGAATCATTTCAACAGGCAGGAACAGCCACAAGCATGATGCTTCCACAGCGCCAACTGCAATCTCCTCAGACTGACTCAGATTTCTTTACAAGAATAGACTTAGCTTGCACACACATATTTTGTAAATGATTTCTCATGAACAAAGGGATTTACCGAAAATAGTTATAAATATTTGCATTTGCATACGTGAATTTTTCTGGATTTTTTCTTTTCTTTTTCAGATTGTCTGAGTTTGCTGTTAGCTCTGTCATCGTCTCAACTTTCCTTCCACAAAGACTCCTGCTCACTGAGTGGCTGTGCCGCTAAACTGGACTGGCCTGCCCCTGCAGTCCACCCTCTTGCCTGGCACCACATGAGCAGTGGCCAGGGGCACTGAGGAAGCAATCCCTTTGGTATCACTTTCTCCCTCTCTCTTCAAAAACTAGTAGCCTCTACTAAATGGAACCTGTAACTTTCAATCTCCATAGACCCACTTACTATCTCCTATGCAAACCGGCTCTGTTGACTCAAAAAAGGTCAACTGTCTGTGCCAGATATGAATGATCTTCTGAAGATACATAGGGCCAGGCACAGTGGCTCACACCAGTAATCCCAGCACTTTGGGAAGGCCAGACAGGAAAAGTGCTTGAGCCTAGGAGTTTGAGATCAGCCTGGACAACATAGCAACACCCCATCTCTACAAAAAAATAAAAAATTAGCTGGGCATGCTGGCATGCACCTATAGTTCCAGCTGCTGGGGAAGCTGAGACAAGAGGACAGCTTGAGCCCAGGATGTCAAGGCTGCAGTGAGTTTTATGATCAGGCCACCACACTCTAGCCTGAGCAATATAGCAAGATCCCATCTTGGGAAGAAAAAAAAAAGTTAAAATAAAACAAAGACATTCAGAACAGCAGCTCCTCAGATTGCAGCAACCCCAAATGAGCTACAGACCTTTTTAAGGCTTAGACTGGCAGAAACAATACTAAATACATTCCAAAGAGCATGAAAATAAACTACACTCACATATGAATTTATCCAGTGCCTTGGTCATATATGTACAACCTAAGATGAGAATTATCCAACACATTCTCCCATGCCACACATTTACTTTATGATAAAAAGGAACTGCTAATTTGTATTTTGAGGGATTAACCCTTCCTTCCACCCTCCTCAATCCAATTCTACAGAAATAGTGGGTGTTTCAGAGGTGATGAAAATTTCAAAAACATTTCACTTGTATTTAGGATAGTGATTTCATTCAAAATTTGATAATAAATATAGTATTCATGGTATTAAGTACTTCATCAAACCATGGAGACAGAAACATCAAAGTCTTACACGTATTGAAAAGTAGACAAACACTAAAAGTACAGGACAGTCATGTACCAATATCCTCATTACAGCTTAGGCTTAGTGCAGGATAACTTTATAAATAGATGCATTTTTACAATACTACTACAATATTTTAAAGCTCAAATATTAAAAATAGAAATAAATACAATTAAAAAGCAATGTGATTTCTTACTGCTTACACCAAACTGGCAATTTGTATGCGTTTTTCAACAGAGAGCCATGGCCAACTTGTAACATCTGTGGTAAAAACGAACACCAGCATTCAAGAATTACTCATGGAAAAGCATTTCACTACAATGAACCAAAGCTCAACTGCTAAAAGCATAGTTAATGTGCACACAGTCTATGGGCTTGTAAAAGTACTCATATCCTAGTATTTCAACTTGAACTACATCACCATATTCTCCTCACCCAAAAGTTTCCATGCTAAAAGGCAGGAAACTACACTAAAAACCACAGAATTTGATGCATGGGATAAACCTGGACAGCAGTGAGGAATTACAGTGGGATAGCTGAAAAGTATCAATTTGGAAAAAGAGGAAAATTGTATAGAATCAAAACTTATGACTGGCATGCTTATCTTTCTCCTGTCTTTCACAATCCTTATTTGTAAGGTTATCAGCAATGGTGCAGGGAAAAACAATGAAAATAAGGAAAGGAAAATCATTCAAAAATAGAAACACTTTTCATAACTTTAGTATGTATAAGGCATGGAAAATAAACCCACGGAGCTAATTTTATAAGTCATATAAAAGACAACTTGTGTTAAATTATACTCCTGTCTACTCTATTCTTTAGTTAACAAGTGGTTAAGAGAATGGCCCAAGAACTAGGTTCAAACCACTCCATCCCTTAACCCACTCTGTACTCCAAGCTACTTAACCAATCTCTCTGCAGCTCAGTTTCCTCATCTGTAAAATGGAGATACTAGTACATTTATTAAATAAGTAATACAGGCAATCAGAACAGTACATGGCAGCACTGACACGTAAGGACAATTAGCTGGCATTATAATTATTATAAGAGCACTTGAAAACCACATCACAAAATATTCAGCCCAGAGCTCCAAGTACACAATTTGTCCTTTCCATAAAAATGGTTTTCAAAGTTTCTGTTTTGGGTAACCTGGCAGATGTGACAAAACACCAGTGGATATCATAAAACCTCTGTTCACTATTCCAAAATTACAGCCCATCTTGAAGTTATTCTAGTCTAACTCCTCAGCTGGCAAGAAGAAAAGCAAAGACATCCAGGTGTCCTATCAGCAAATTTAATAGAGCAGAGTCTGCTTCTAACTCAATAAAGATTGGCTCAATGACAGAACAAATAAAAACTTCAGTGAAAAACATACTTATCCCCGTAAGAAAGCCCCTTCTCTTATTATGTTAATAATTCCTTCCTCTCTTCCCATATGTCTCACTTTGTCATTGTTTTGTAAGCAAATACATTACTTTAATAATCAAGAAACTCCACAGGATGTAACACCTGAATAACAATAATCACTTAGAGTACTTCACATAAAATAGACATTCGTATCAAGTTTTGCTTAATTGGACCTTTATGTGGTATCTACTTAAAAATTCATCTGTAAAATTTTGTTACAAATATTCGCTTTTGCTCTTAGGTTCAAAAATCTACAAACAGAAGAAATGTAACTTATTTAGATTAAACAGGATGGCCTGTGACTTTTAGACACATTCCTTGATACAATGATTTTCAAAAAAAGAGTCAAAGGTACTCTCTGACTGAGAGTCAATTACCGGGCAGATATCCTGTTAAGGACTGCAGGGAATAAAAATAAACAAAGCCCACAACACAGATGTTTACAATTTCTCAGTAATACAGAAGGACTGGCAATTATCTCTGTACCTTCGAGTCCCAACCACCAAGAACACAAAACAAAACAACAAAAACCATCTGGCAACTTCTGCTTTTTCGTAAAAATCCTTCTCGCTCATTAGCTGGTGGCTGGGCATTAGATCTGCAGTCCTTGTTAATGCTGTACACTACAATTTGAAATAGAGGAGTGGGGGGAAAATATAATACATTTTAGTACTTATCAGTGTATTGTAGTTGACACTATAATTAGACATATGAGAGAGACCAAAACTGACATTCCCTAAAATACTAGCATCAGATTCTCATTCATCAGTTTAGGCTGCTCTGGACAAGTAACTTTCTCATCCCACGACTTCCCCACGTTTACATATCTTGGTGTTACCAAGCACTCATGCTCTATCTAATTTGCCCAGATACTACTAAACATTAATATAACATTACTCACCATGGGAATAGGATATTGGTTCACACTAGCATTACAAAACCATGAGGCACTGTGCCCAAGAGTCTCAATCATTAGAAATGGTCACTAACATATGTGCAAATGAGAGGCCGACTCATTCAGAAAGGAATGCAAGAAACCCAGAGCCTCTGTGCAGGTAAGGCTGTCCCTGCCCACCCACAACGGCAACTCAAAGAAGGCAGCGACCAGAAGGGTTCTATTGGGGCCTTTCACTTCCCTTGCCAATGAGTCCAAATTTAGACTGTGCTCTGGAACAAAATGGAAAAAGTCTCTTGAAGAATGTTTTTGGAGTTAACATCCACTGGATGACTCAGAGTTACACATCATGGAGGCCAGGTACTTTTACTTCTATAAAAGGAATATGTTTGAGTGTTGGGGAGGCCAGCCTAGAGCTCAAAAGCCTGGTGACCAGGCAAGAAAAACAAGGGAGAAGCTGGCTGTCTCCAACTCAAGCAAAGTGGTTTTAAGGACCAAAAGCTAGTTTAAAATATCACACTTGACTCAAGTTTGCAATTTATTTTCCAGCAAAGTCCCATGAATCCGGGCAACATCTAAATACCTACTTAGTAGTGCTAATTGGGTGTACCTCTTAAAAGTCTGTTTAACAAGCTATTCAAAACACCCTTGTCTCCAGCCGCCTAGAAAAATATTCTGAAAACAATTACTAGGCATGACTAAAAATCAGCCTTTTTTACAGTTCTTCACTGGCTGACGTACTCAAAACTGCAAAACAGTCTTCTCAGATTGAAAGATGAAAAACTCCACACTCCTCACCCCATCCAATGTCCACAACCCATAACTAGGCTGTCCCCTGGGTAAGGTTTGAGAAGCTCCAATGAGTCACCAAGGACTCACATCTGTCCATTTCACTTTACAAATGAGATAAATCAACCCATTTATAAGAGGGGCAAGCCAAGTCTGAACGTCACTCACCCACTACTGTCCTAGCAATTTGGCCTTTTTTTCCTCTGTCTTCTCCCCATCATTTCCACTCGTCCTTCGGCCCCTCTCTCTACCCTATCCTTTGCATTTGGCCTGAGAACAGCTGCCCCAGTTTCTCCTGCTCTTCCGCCAGGAGCCACCTCTGCCTAAGCAAAGGCAGGCCCAGCCAGCCCCAGTGCGTGTGTGGCCAATCTGGGCCTGGGAGCCCACTCAGAGCCAGCAGACATGTTTAACAACTGTGCTGGGCACGTTTTTCACCACAGCCATGCAAAGGGTACTCATCCAGTTAGGCTCTGGAAGAACTGTGCCATTCATGTTAAGTATTCACCTTTCAGTCTGCCATCAGGAGTTTTCAGGATTCAATTTTGGTGAAAAAAAAATAGGACCAAGTGCTTGTGTAATCCTCCAGAACTTTCACTGTTCTGACTTCAAGGGTGAGAACACCCACTATTAGCCTTTATAAGGGACAAGAAGGAAAGGAGAGAGAGAATGGGGTGGGGCGGGGCGGGGGGCGGTATCAATTTTATGGGGAGAGTGGAAATGCCCAGATGTTCAGGATTCAGAATCACTTTGAGATATGGCAGTCCACATGAGTTTTAGGAAAATCCTAAAACTGTCCATGAGTCCCGGACGACTGAGATGGACCCAAATAAAGAGGTATTGGTGATGTCCGCCCAAGACTGGCACAGGTACTGCACCGAGCATGCTGCTCCAAGGAGGAGCCCTATTCTGCGTAAGGAGTGAGAACACTCAATGTGATTAGTGAGCAGCAGGACTGCACTCGCATTAGATTAGAGTACAGACGCCAGGAGGGAAGCTCAGCAATGGCTCCAGACCCAAGAGGCATCTACCCTCACACCCACTGACCTAACTTAATTTTTTTTCTGAAACACCAAAAACTACACAGAGTATGTACTGGAAAGAAACACACTAGAACAAGTGTTTTACAATAAGACTTTATATCAAGAGCATTCAAAAGATGCTGAGATGCACTCTTTCCTCTAAGAATATGTGGCGTTCATATGAGGACATAAACAATTAGCAAGGGAAATTAGATTTGTCCATAGCAATGAAGTCCTGAAGTGCACTAGAGGCTAATACAAAGCAAATGCAAACACTTTTCCAGTCCACTGGAGTTTTATCGTTTGCTCAGTATTATTTTCTAAAAATGTTATGCTCCAAGTCTCAACAACACTGCCAGTGCCTTTAGCAGAGTGAGGGCACCTTGCAGAAAGGAAGCTGTGATCCCACTACTGGACAGAGACCATGGGACAAGGGTGGCCTTGCAGCCTTGGGGCACATCATTTCAGCAGCTTCCCACTGTGATTTTGCTGAGCAGATACACAAACAGCGCACAATGCTCCCCTCAGCTCTCAAAACATAACCGCTGTTGCTAAGCTGAGCAGCAAAGCTCTTTTAACAAACACATTTCTAAATCCCCATAGGATGAATTCTATAAGGCATCTAATTACTAGCAGCTGGATTTTCAGCAGATATGGCACCCAACCATCCCAACACACAGCATTCTCTGGGATGGCTGCTCATCTGGCCTTGGAGTTCTGAGGTCAAGGTCAACCAGCCGTCCTCCTAGAGAAACTCTGAGGCCACACGTCAGAGAGCCAAAATAGGAGCTGCGCTGTTTTTTTTTTAAAGTCTGGGATCCATCTTTCCCTTAGAAGCCATGTCCTCTTGGGTAATTAATTCATTTTTTTAATGGTTACCATGAAAATAATACTGAAGTAGAACAGCCACTATTTGCCGAAGGTTAACAGTTAGCAGTGTCCGTCCGGATCTCAGAACACCAAGAAACAACCTCTAGAGATCTCAAATGGGCAGCGAGCAGTCGGCACACTGAAACAGTGGCCTGTGCCTTCCCTCCACGACAAACACTTTTCGGCAAACGGGAGGTGGGGAAACAGCACAGAAAGTTTTGTTCCAAGTCTGAAACTGAAACCAACCCCATTACGGAGGGGGGATAATGAGACTGAGCTGACTTCTTTTTTGTTTTTTCTTTTTTTAATTAGAGTTTCTTTAGAGCCTTTTTTTTTTCCAGGGAAGAAAGGGAGAGTTTGTTGTTTTCAATTATTAGTCAAAGAAAGTAATACTTTAAACTATTTGTTTAAATTCTTAGGGGATGAAACAAATTTTCCGAAAGAGTGCTTTAATAAACTGTTCCCTCTTAAGCATCTTTTAAAACAACAAGTCTCCAAGGACATGTTTTTTCATTGTGTAAACATATCTAAATTTACTGCATACCTTTTTATTAAAGGAAGGGAGAGAAAAGCCCCCCGCTTACATCACAGTCTTGCTGATGGAGAAAAGTCACAAAAAATGACTACCCAGGGCAGAACACGTCCCGCAGAACTGCAGTTCAGAGACTTTCAACAGAGGGAAAGGAAGGAAAGCCTCGCTGAGGCTTCTGTGATAGTCTAGGCCAGTAGGAATACACCTACCTGTGCTAAAGAGTTAGCCCCAGGAAGCCGGGAGGAACAGGTGTCCCTCTGAACCCTAATGAAGACCCCACCTGCCCAGCTAGTGGAGCAGCTGGCCCATCCTAGAGGTGCACTGTCGTCTACCTGCTGCTGCCTGGAGGCCTGTGGAAAAAGATGGGGCCCTGGCTCAGCTCAGAGGAAAAGGGGCACGAAGGACAAGGCACCACAGCCAGGCTGGAGGCAGGGGCACGAAATGCCTTCAGCTGTCACCCTTGCTCTAGGACAAAGTGCACAGCAAAGTGGCAGGTCTCTGCTGTATTTGGTCCAGTTTTCCTTAGGAATTCTCTGGAAAATCAGGAAAGAATTTTTAAAAATCATCAGAACTCTGAATTCATACCTAGGGAACACTTCACGTGTCAGAAGAAACTAAGTGAATTCTCAAAGACTGGTGAATATTCCAAAAGATCATGTCTTAGAAAGAAGAACAAATCATGAGATTTTATCAGATAAAAAGTACATCAAGTGTAATAAGTAATGGCATTTTCTTAAAGACCAAGCTCCTACACGTAAATTTCTAATTTTTATCACTTTGATCTTCACAAAATAAAGGCACAGAATTGATACTGTCATTGAGTCATGTGTGTTATCATGAGAAAGAATTTTAGCTATGTCTTTGGGCAAGAAGAAACTACACTGTATTTGATAAGGCAATCATTTCTAAAACTCTGCTATTCCACCCACACTCTGACAACAATTTCTATCAGATATAAATTTGTCCCTTGCAGCATCTGTAAAGAATGAGCCAAAGACTAACATTAAGATCCAGGGGACCAAGATGCTCTCTGAGCTAAGGAGGGAACCAGCAGAGAAGTAACAAGTTGTTCTACCAAATAGGAGAACATGCACTGTCTCTCCCTGAGCCTGGCAGTGGAGCCGGGGTCCTTCCCACTTCCCAGAGGAGTTTGCTCCTGAGGAATAACATAGAGAAGTCACATTTATCAAATCTTCAGGCCACACAGCTCAGAGACATCATTACTGTGTTGGATAAAAAGAAAAAATATCATCCAAAGATTTCAACAGGAAGAACTAAAAGTAGTAACATGAAATTCAATGAGAAGTTGTGTTTATATTCAAAATATTAATTTATTAAATAAAAGTCAGGGAGGATGGGGTGGGGAGAAGGAGATTAAAAACACAAGACTAAATATTCTGGAGAGTTCTATGAGGTCAGACCTAGAATTCTGGACCCACATCAGTGTGGAGTGTGGAAACTACTGGAACAGTGAGGGAAAGTGGAGATGCGAAAGAGCCTAAGCAGGCCACCATGTGGTCTTCAGACTTTCTCTTCTTTCTCCTGCCATCCACTCCAGACTCTGAACTTTACCGTGATCCTCTAATCCACCTTTACAGACGCCAGACATTGGTCTATAAGTCAAGCAGGGGCAGTCAGGGTTTTCAGGACACTGAAATGGCCCTCAAGGGATTTCTGCAGTGCAGCTGCCTGGGGGCAACCGCTGACACAGGTCCTGTGTGAGTTGTCCCATGTGCCATCTCACAGACTTCAACCCCCCAGAAATGCTCCACATCCATCACAGGCTTGCCCACAACCCTCCACAAGCTGGCATGAGGGCCATCACAGATTCTGAGATTGGGCAAACCACAGAATGACTATGAAATTCTAACAGACAGTGCCAGGGACCCCCCCCAGGCAGCAAACACCAGATGATGGTAACAGGTAACTAGCTTTAACAGACTGGTCTGAGCTGGGGTGAAGCAGCCCCACCACAATGTTAGTTTCAACAAATCCCAAAACCTTTAGAGAAGCACTAACAAATTTTCAAGCAGGCCAGTATCTAGAAGGACATTTGCTTTTCATGGTTCTCTAACACACTTTAAGGCATCCAAGAATAAGACAATATCTATAGAAATTACCAACAGCTATTCTATATCCCTTAAATAAGATGTTGTTTATTTATTTTTAAGTCTGCGATGTTAGCTGAATGTCCTACAGAAAGTTAAGAGCCTAAAAAATACAGAAAATACACTGTAGCATCCCATTGTTATTTTTAATAATCCATATAATGGAAACAAGAAAAATTCTAAATGTGAATGTTTATGAACACAATTTTCTTGCATGCTCTTTATTCCTTAACTTTTTTTCTGGAGGATTTCCCTAGACAAAAATTAAACATTTTAGTATATATAGAAAATAAGCCAACTCAATTCATAAATTTCAGGAGAAAATTACTGCCTACTTCTCTACCTATATTTCATCATTTTTTTTGTGGGGGCACTGGGGGACATGGGACCACTCACCCTGTCACCCAGGCTGAAGTTCAGTGGTACAATCAGAGCTCACTGCAACTTCAAACTCCTGGGCTCAAGAGATCCTCCCACCTCAGCCTTCTCAGTAGCTAGGACTTCAGGTGCCTGCCACCACACCAGCTTATTTTTTATTTTTATTTTTTTGTAGAGATGGGATCTTGCCATGTTGCCCAGACTGGTCTCAAATTCCTGGCCTCAAGCAATCTTCTCACTTGCTGATAGCATGAGCCACTGTGTCTGGCCTGTATTTTCATATTCAAAGATTATGGTCTGCCTTTTAAATTTTAAGTTAAAAATGAGATTCTTACAAAGGAACAAGGTAGGTTATATTCTTTAGAAAGCAAACCATCCTTATTTATTCAAAAACACTAACAGCATTCATTTCACACAATTCTCTTAGCAATTTTTTTCAAAAGTGGTCAAGTCAGTTATTTATTTATTTATTTATTGCCCCATTCCCTTCGAAATAATCTTTTTAAATCTAATGAGAATAGGAAGCTCCAGGCAGCAGCTAATGATCGGTTTGGAAATTCAGGCCACAGAGACTGAAAACACCAGCATGTAACCAGCTTTTGATCTAGGTTACTTTAAGAGGTTGTGCCAGAAAACTAGGGAATACAATGCACAGGATTTGCCACGTCTGTATTACAGTTGATCACTATTGTTATTCTTATTTGAGGCAGAGTCTCGCT